GTAACCCGAAATGGCAGCGTTGCTGCAGTGTCGACTCTTTCTGTGACTGGTGTTTCTCACGTCAACTAGGTAGGAGGGTGTGCGACGCTGAAACTGCCGTGCGACTCGATCCTAATGCTATACTGCCGCAAGACAATGCTGTACCTTCCTCATGGACGACGGAGGAATAGAAGTATGGTAGTGTGCTTCTTTCGCCAACTTGCCCCTTCAACTCCCATTGGTCCAGGAATCCATCCAGCTGCACTTTATGACTGAGAGACTGAGGAGGCGATTGTGGGCTTGCTTGCACGTAACAAAATGTACTGCGAAATAGGCTTCTTGTCCACTAGCGACAGTGTACAATCGTCATCCGGGGACTTGATTAGGGCGGCAAGGGTCGCGACGCGGCTGCGGCGTGTCACGAGCGCGGCGATCAGCTGTTTCCAGCTATTTTAGCCATTTTCTCCCTAATTTACACTGTTATGGCTGCTTTCTCGAGATTAGTTATTCCTTGTCTTCACAAGGTAAATTATGACTGAGTTCGGTTGAGTGATTCTTCTGCTTTTTGCGCACAATCAGACAGGCAGACAATTGAACAAACACCTAAAAAATTGCAAAAACACTCTATTACAGAAACAAAAAAAACTACGCCCTAATGTGCTTCATAGAGACAATAAAACAAATAAACTTGAAAAAATGGAGATCACAGTGAAAATTCAGGGAGAAAATGGCCAAATAGGCTGGAAACAGCTGATCGCCGCGGTCGCGCCGCGACCCTTGCCGCCCTGATAAATTCCCCGGATGACGACTGTACTCTAGCAAGACAACGACAATAGAAAGGCGAAAACTGTGCCACTTTTTTGTTCAATTTTTTTAACATAAAAAAGTTGCTCATGATTTGAAAACGTCTCATAGAAAATACTATTTATACCCAAGACAGTAAGGTTCAAGATTCTTCTGTTGACTATACTCCCATATTATTTTACTTTTCTCTCCTCGAGTAGCGAAACTACTTCATTGTGGATTGTCAGCGCCGTTTCGCACCTACCTTCCACAAAGGCGGCTAGAGTACGAAACTGCCGACCGAAGCAAAAATAGAGGAGATGGGTTTATATCAGAACAGTGCCACTAACTACAAGGCAATTTTCGCGATACAACGCTTCGAGACAGGATACTGCAGATGGTCAGAGGTAAGGAAATTCGGCGTTGTTCGGCTTTGGAAGGGAAACCTGCACTTTCGCCATTTTGCTTGCTTACTAGTTCCTGAAAAATTACACGTCTCACGTTTTCGAGACATTTAGGCTCTCGTCGAGAGTTTATGAAGCTCCCGCTATTGCGTAGCTTTGCAGGAACTTATGGATCTTCAGGGGTGACATCGCCTATGAATGGAAAGCAGCAAAAATTCCCCATCAAGCCGAACTAGAAATTCATCTGAACTCAGATCAAAAGAGCTGCAAATTGTTGAATTAAGAAGGTGGTACCGCGGCCGATTCCATACACAGAAGTGTGAAGATCTGAAATTATTCATCGATTGCAGAGAAGCTCTTTGTACGCACGGTCTGCTTTCAACATCACAGGGCCAAAGCGAAACTTGGAAGTGGGGTCAAACCGAAGCCGGATTGCTCTCCCTCAGCACACATGACGCATTGCTGCTTCCAATCGCTCAATGTTCCCGTACTCACTCATAAAATGGACGAAAGAATCTTGCCTTCCTGAGCACAAGCGGAACTTGCGCCACTCTATATTTTGAGCTGCCTGGACACTTGCAAGGAGCCTGCAGCTATTACTGTGATGTGTCACTTGAAAAGTATAGGAAAAGTATCCAGCTGACTTGTCAGGTAACGTAAAGGCATGGCCGCGACAAACTAAGGCTGGAACGTTTTGAAAGTGCATTATGAACAAGTATACAACCCCAGAGACTGTACTACATCAAAAGGTGAAACGGGCAAGAAAAACCCAGGGTGGTCAGATTTCAGGCCCATGGGCGCCCAGTAGGCCCATGCCGGCCTACGTCGCCCATGTCATAGTGACGATGTTGTTGTGCTCTCTCTCTGGTCTCTCTCCTCTCTCCTCAGTGTATCGTCATCTTTTGCAAATCACAAATGATCTTGACCATGTGCATCACGATCAAATGTAGTTAAGGGGGTCTTATTGCAGGCCGTTCTTCGAGCTTTCTTCTTCAGTCAGTCAACCAGCACACGGCAATCCTATTCTTGAACTGTGTCACCTATATGTGCAGTCGCGGGAATAACCTTTGAAACAGAGAACACATTTGAAGTGTACACTTTCTGCTTCCACAAAAATCTTCATGAAATGAGGACTGTACAACTTTTCTGGAGAAAAAGGAAATTGTTCATGAGCTCATTGACTGAAATTTGACGAGCAAAAAATTACCTGTATCATCTGTGCGCCAGTAACGTCTCTATTTGTTCTTGCATAGCATTGGAGTTGTCCGATGGGTTTTCTGTGCCCGAAAGACAAGGTGAACATCATGCTAGAAAAAGCTGGAGCTATTAATTATCAACGGAATGTAAGTAAAGTAGCAGTTAAAATTATGAGTTTAGAGGAATAGTCGCGAAAAATGAAGCCGCCGGGGAGAATGGAACGCTTCCCGAACGTTTTGAGAATTAAGAAGTGCTCCCGATTTTCAGTCAGAACTAATTAAAAGACCTAACTAGAATTAGAGTCGTTTGGCAGCACATTTGTACAATTAAGACTAATGTTTCAATATTCTAATGTAATGTAATGATTTCAGCCAACCTCAACTTGCCGGTGTCATATTCGGATCAGTTGGAGCAACGCTTGTCATCTGCGTCACAATAGCCACTATTTTTTGGATGTGGTTAAGGAAAAACGGTTGGTTTGAACCTCCCCAGCAATTGAATAAGTTAAATGGAGATAACTAGTAGTGCTCAAGAGACTACACGTTAATTCGAGCATTTAGAGGGGAGCGCCTCAGATCGAAGTTTTTCCAACGCAGAGTACTGCGGTAGAGTGTTTAGTAGTGCTACGCCAAATCTAGAAACCATTATTGTTCAAAAACAGGTACTCAAAAACAGCTCGAAAACACCCTCGTCAATTTTGTGGGGCTGCAAACAAGATCTTCAAGAACAGTAGCGAGCCATCTTCAACGGATCAGATGAAGGGTGCAAATCGTTGATCAGTCAGCTGAGAATTGAATTTCGAGGAAGATTCCGGGGAAATGATGAACCCGGAATCCCGGGGAAATGAACCCCGGGGTTCCGGGGTTCATTTTATTTGATGAAAGGCATGAATCTCGTTATTCATGGATTGAATCGAATTTCGCGGGGGATGTGATAACGCGTATAGCCCGTGGTTTCACGGGGATTCTGACAAGGTCAGCTCATATGAACTTATATAGAGCTTGTTGCAGCGAATATGAGTTTGAAGTCCCAACTATGTATAACCTCTTTCCTGTCCTTGGCAACTGGATCTTCAGAAGGGAGGATTTCTCTGAGCACTAAGAGCCGTTTCATGCTCACATCTGTGGGAGACGGTAAAGAGGATCGTAATTCGCCGCACCGCCACGCGCGATGGGCGCGGCGTTTTCATAACTCGTTTTAACCTGTCGAATGAAGCACCGGACTTCATGTAGACCCCGTCATCGTAGACACTCATTACTTTTCGGTCCTTAATTGCATGTTGTCGCCATCTACTGCCTGAAACCATCGTCCTTTGCGGGCGGGACGTCGCACGCGACGCCCAGCAGCGCGGCAAATTACGATCCTCTTGTCACATACCCCACATCTGTGGCTACCAAAAGGGAATAAATACTTCATTGAAGTTTATGTTCCACTAGTAAGGCTCTTTTAATTATAAGCTGCCGAGAAGCTTGTAGATAGCGTACAAAAACAGAAATATACCACCTAGTTGACTCGTTCCCAGAGATAAAGCAGAGCGAACAATCAAAAACGCCCCAAATACGGCTATCCTTGCTCCGAGCAAAAAGCAATGAGTCCTTCGGGATTCCGGAAGAGAAATCGGCAAAAGCAGCAAGACAAACACATCATCGTTTTGAAATCACAACGATGAGGTCGTATTTAGTTATTTCAACTTCATTCCGGAAGGCTGTAAAAACTTGATCGTCACCTCATCACCTAAGCGATATGATTTTCAAAAAAACCTCCAAGCATAAGGTCAAAGGTTGCTGTGAACTTCGCGAGCGAGTAACGAGCTCTCGCTCCGATTCATTGAAGTATGCGTAGACGAGAGCCTTCTTCCCGCTTTTGCAATTTTTCTGAAGTCTGGCCCCGTAGCTTTCAAAGCGTGCAGCAACTTTATTTTCAACATACTAAGATGTTCTAAAACTTTGGACAGATGCTGTATAAAACAGAGCAGTGCTCTTCAATCGAATTTCTTTTTATGATCGTTTAGTTCACCGTTTTCATGCTACTACATTGTTTCATTTAGACAAGAAAGATATGGCAACAGAGAAAGCTGTCCATGCCTCAAAAGACTTCAACGACATTGAAAGCAAAATCTACGACGACATTCCACCAAA